TACCTCTGATCTTGACTTTATACCGGACTCGGGCAGATCCCAGAGTTGCTGCTGCCAAGTCTAGCTTGAAAGTCTGGTTTTCCCATTTCGTGTAGCTGCTGGATCTTCTATAGTTTTGTTTAGTCTTGACTGGCAGCGATCCTGAGGGGTCTCGGTCCCACTTCCTTCAATTCCCCCACGCTGTTGGGGATCGGGGACTTACACCCCAGCAAAATGTTCTTTAGAAACACTTACTAGCTAGGCCTCAGCTGAGAGCCGTGTAGGGCAGGGCAGAGGAATGTGCCCTGTGACGTCCTCCTTATTGGGGAGGACTAGTTCCACTTTAAAAGTTCTCTTTATTTTGTTAAACAGGGTAGATTCTGCTGCCACCAGGAAATTTTAAGGATTTCCAAGTAAGCAGCAAAGGGGGTGGGGGTGACATTCTTTTGGCCTCGACTTCTTACCAGACTGGGGCAGATCCCAGAGTTGCTGCTGCCAAGTCAAGCTTGAAAGTCTGGTTTTCCCATTTCATATAGCTGCTGGATCTTTTATGGTTTTGTTTCGTCTGGCAGCGATTCTGCGGGGTCTCAGTCCCACTTCCTTGAATTCCCCCACGCTGTTGGGGATCGGGGACTTACACCCCAGTAAAACGTTCTTTAGAAAGACTTACTAGCTGGGCCTTAGCTGAGAGCCGTGTAGGTCCGGGCAGGGGGAAGGTGCCCGTTCACCTGTGCTGTGGTCCAGTGTCTGCTGCCAGCCCAGTGACTTCCCTTGTCATTTCCCACCACCACCAGGCGGTGTGCTGTCCGGATCACCTCCACTGCTGCCCCAGCGGCTTCCGTTGTGGCCCGTCGGCGGGCACCTGCGTGAAGGACGGGGAGAGCATCCCTTGGCTGGAGAAAAGGCCCGCAGTTGTGCACGTCGCAAGGAGCCCCTCATCCCCGTGGCTCTTGGTGCCTCCGGCTCTGGCCAGGCTGGTGAGATGCGATGACCAAACCAGCTGCCCCGATGGGCAGACCTGCTGCCAGCTGTCCTCAGGCAAATGGGGGTGCTGCCCTTTCGCACAGGTGAGCTTGTGGGAGTTTTTTTTTCTGCTGAGGCAGTGTGATGGAAGGCAAGATTTAGAATACTCTGGTCTTCTGTGCATTGGGTAGATAGGGTGGGTGAGTAGGGATGGGCATGAACCAGAAAAATGCCGTCTGTGTCAGTTTGTGGCTCCTGGCGAAACCACAAACCAAACCAGTTTGTGGTACATGGCCCCACAAACCCTGTTTGACTGAGGTCCCTTTCAGCGGGGTTTTGTGTAAAGAATGGCTGGACGGCAGGGAACACACAGCTGTTTTCCATGCTTTCTTGTGCAGTCCTTTTAAACTTGAAAGGGACTGCACAGGAAGGCACGGAACAGCTGTCGCACGAAACAGCTGTCTTTGTGGCTTTCGCCAGGAACAGAAAGCAGAGGCTTAAAGGGACTCAGAGGTCCTTTAAACCCCTGCTTTCTGCTCTATCCATGAACCGCCGTGGACTGCTTTAGGATTTTGCAGGAAGTTTGTGATGGTAGACCGGTCATGAACTTCAGTTTGCAAACCACAAACGGCAAAATTTGTGATGAATCTTGCTTTGCGATTGAGTTCGTGCCAATGGGTGAGTAGCAAGTAGGCGGTGGGGTGGGGTGGGACGGGACGGAGAGCCGATGAGTCAAGGCAGAGGGGATGCTGGATTCTCACATCTTGTTCTGAACCACGAAGCCAAACCTTCTCATCCCGCGGTCCCCACTCCTGCCTCCTGGGATGCCGCGTCTCTCTTCCCTGCAGGCTGTCTGCTGCGCCGACCACGTTCATTGCTGCCCCCAGGGTTACACCTGTGATGTGGCCAGCGGCAGCTGCCACGAGTCCTTGCGCGCCCTGCCTTGGGGACCCAAGCTCCCCGCTGCTGACCCGCTGCAGAACCGGGACGTCCGTTGCGACGACACCACCACCTGTGCGGAGGGGCAGACCTGCTGCAAGAGCAAGGCTGGCACCTGGAGCTGCTGCCAGCTGCCAAACGTGAGTGAAGCCGTGCCTGGCTCGAGACCCAGCTCTGGGTCAGGGTGCGTAGTTACATTCAGGGGTGGGGTGGGGTGGGACGGAGAGCCGGTGAGTCAAGGCAGAGGAGATGCTGGATTCTCTCATCTTGTTCTGAGCCACGAAGCCAAACCGTCTTGTCCCGCGGTCCCCACCCCTACCTCCTGTGATGCCGCGTCTCTCTTCCCCGCAGGCTGTCTGCTGTGCCGACCACGTGCATTGCTGCCCCCAGGGTTACACCTGTGATGTGGCCAGCGGCAGCTGCCACGAGTCCTTGCGCGCCCTGCCTTGGGGACCCAAACTTCCCGCTGCTGACCCGCTGCAGAACCGGGACGTCCGTTGCGACGACACCACCAGCTGTGCAGAGGGGCAGACCTGCTGCAAGAGCAAGGCTGGCACCTGGAGCTGCTGCCAGCTGCCAAATGTGAGTGAGTGAAGGCGTGCCCGGCTCGAGGCCCAGCTCTGGGTCAGGGTGCGTGGTTAAATTCAGAGGACTTGGAAGTGTTGTGACCGGTTGGTTATTTAAGCTCCATTTCTGTTGTTGTTGTTTCTAGTATGACATTGCACAAGGCTGGCATCTCTCTCTCTCTCTGCCCCTGCAGGCTGTTTGCTGTGCGGACCACCAGCACTGCTGCCCCTCAGGCTACACTTGCAACCTGAAAGCCCAGACTTGCGAGAAGCAGCAGCAGCCCCAGTCCCCGACAGCCGAGGGAGTGCAGGCCTCGGTCTCGCTGAGTCCGCCACGTGCCGCCACGTCTGGCCGCGATGTGCCCTGTGACGCTCAGCACTACTGCCACGACCGCCAGACCTGCTGCCAGACGAGCACAGGATGGGCGTGCTGCCCGTACAACAAGGTTGGTGTGCCCGGGCTGTGGAGGACGGTTGGCGGGAGGTGATTGGGCAGGAGTTCAAATTGGGATAGTTAGTGTGAGCCAGCTCACAGTTTTTTAGCCTCCGGCTCATACATTTTTGTCTTAGCTCAGGGAGGAAGGCTCCAGAGCAAACTAATTTATGCAGCAGCCAAATCGCTCACTCACAACTTTAATGCCAGGAGCTCACAAAGTGGACTTTTCGCTCACAAGACTTCACAGCTTAGAGGGAGCATTGCTTGTAGGCCCTGGGCCACAGCCAGGTGGTATCCCTAGATGCTTTATCCTTTTGTGAGCTGGTTCATGGCCCCTTTGCACGAAGAGACTCATGCGAGTGTCCAGCGCTCACAATCAAGAGTCGTGTCTTGCAGAGGGAAGTTCCAGAACACCCTGTTCTATCTTTTCTGATAGGGATGGATTCGTATTGGTTCTGTCTTCTCTTATGGGGATGGGTTCGTATTGGTTTGTGAGCCACTTAAAATTTGAACCCCTGCTTTCTGCTCCCTGCGAAAAGCCATGGGGAGCAGAAAGCGAACGATTTAAGCCCCTGCTTTCTGTGCTTCACGAACCACGTTAAAATTTGTGGAGGTTCATGGCAGCTCTTCAGTTCGCAAACATCACAAACCGGCCAGAATTCGTGACGAGGTTTAGTTTGTGATCCAGTTCGTGCCCATCCCTGTTCTCTGAGCAAGGGGCAGGGGTCGGCTCAAGGTTATTATATCCTCCCCCGCCCCAGAGGTATGCCATCACCTGCTGGGCCATCACCACTGCTTGCCAAGTCTCAGGGGCCTTTGGCTCAGATCCAGCTGGTGGCTGCGCAGGCCCAGGCCCATCCCTGTTCTCTGAGCAAGGGGCAGGCCCAGCAGATGATGCCAGTCACGCCCCTTGGCCACTTTTGAGATGGGAGGAAGCCAAGTCTCTGCGGGGCATCAGCGCTCTCCTCGCACAGTGCCCACTTGAGGAGTCACTTGGGCGGCTTGGCTTCAGAACTGGCCCTGGCAAGGCAGAGACACCCCTTGCTGAGGCTGTCTGGCATCCCATCTGCTCCCTTCCTGAGCATTAGTGGGCTGTGGGAAGCTGAAACCGGACTGGCCCGAGTGCCCCCTTTGGTTTGCTGTATGGCAGCGGTTTCATAAGGAATATTATGCCCACATTCATGGTGGATTGGTCTGTATTTTGGCCTTTGGCTTTGCAAGGCTGAACCCTGCATCTCCTGTGGCTCCTGTCACGGCTCAGGTGGGGCTGTCACCTGACGCTGCCACCACTCTGGATTTAGGATCCCCTGAGAAGGCCCAGAGCACCCTCCCAAGACATTCCGACATCCCTTTTGGCCGAATAATAGGCGTGAGGACCAGGCAGAGTAAACAACAAGGAAAAGGTTTATTTTATAGGAGGTCAAATAAACAAGGTGCAGGAATAATAGCAGTAAGTGGGTGAAAAGAAAAGGAATCAAACGCCCTAACGCGTCTGACTATACGGCCCCTAGCTCACTATCTCCAGTGGCTTTAGACTACTCACCCTTCCCTCGGGATGAGGGTTTCTTCCCCATAGCAGCCTCTCGCTCTCACCCTGTCCCTTGGGAAGAAGAACAGCTTTTTCTCTTGCACCAGTTCTTTTAGTATAAGTCCCCTTTCTCTGTGATTGGCTCATTTTGGCTCCAAAACCTCTCAGAGGCTTCTGGGAGTTGTAGGCCTGGCCTCCTCCCACTGCTACACAGGCTCCCCGGGCCTGCTAGGCCCTACTGGCACAGTCCAGATCATGACAGCTCCTCTCTCCACACCATCCTTTTTCCTCAGGCACTGCCTGCTGGAAGCTCTTAGGACTTTCTCTCCCCCCACCTTCCTTGTTTTAGTGGCATGGCTGGTTGTTCTTTTTTAATTGGAAGGTACTTTAAGGAGCTGCGGTGGCTCAAGTGGTGAAGACGCTGAACTGCAGGCTGTGGAAGGTCAGTAGTTCAGCAGTTCGAGACCCGAGTGTGCCGCATGACGGAGTGAGCTCCCGTCTCTAGTTCCAGCTCCTGCCAACCTAGCAGTTCGAAAGCAAGAAATTGCAAGTAGATAAATAGGTACCGCTTTGGTGGGAAGGGAACAGCGTTCCGTGCGCCTTGGTGTTTAGTTATGCCGGCCACATGACCACGGAAACGTCTTCGGACAGCGCCGGCTCTTCGGCTTGGAAACGGAGATGAGCGCCGCAACCCTAGAGTCGGACTCGACTGGCTTTCGAGCAAGGGAACCTTTACCTATTTTTACTTTAAGGATGCGGTCGAGCCAATATGGCCTGTGGAAGCATTCCCAGGGGGCTGAAAACAGGGTGTTCCCCCCTCCCGCCTCCAAAAGAGTTCTTCCTCTTGACTCGTAAGCCTCTTTGGACTCCACACACCCCTGACTCCTTGACATAACCTTTGTTCCTCTGTCTCCTCCCTCTCCCCACCAGGGATCCTGTTGCTCTGATAAGCGCCACTGCTGTCCCTTCGGCTTCCGCTGCTCCTCCTCAGGGCTGCAGTGCCTTCGGAAAGGGCCCCTCCGCTGGGACGCCGACGTGCTCTCCTCACGCTCCAAGCAAGCCCTCCCGCTGCTCTGAAGTGCCTTTTGGGGTGTGCTCGCCCCAAGATTGAGGTGGGAGTGAGCTGTGCTTCTCCAGGGAGGAATGCGAGACACGGGAACAATGTCTGCCACGTTGCTGTTCCAGCTATTGGGGGGGGGGCAACTCCTGCCGACTTGCCCCGGCCTACAGGGGAGGCAGGCAGCCATCTTTCCTTCCTGGCACTGTCTACAGTAACAAGCCCACTCTCGTGGCTTGTCCGTAACTCCTTGCCCTGCTGTGGGGTCCACGACCACAATCAAGACAGCTGTTTGGACTCTGGGGAAAGTTGACCTTTCCGGCCAAGGCGTTTTGTGGGCACCCCGTCTTTTTGCTTTGCTGCTCTCGACCCTGGATTGTTTTTAAAAAAATTTCATGAACTTCTTTTAATAATCAGTTTGGCACTGGATTGGCAGCTGGGGAGAGGCTGCTTGCCCTCCCAGGCACATTCTCTCTTGCTGAACATGTTACGAGATTGCTCCTGGGCTTTTGAAATGTTGTGATGTTCCCTGCGTGTGTGTGTGTTGTTTCTCTAAACACCCCTCCCTCCGCCCTGGTTTTAAACTAGCAACCACAACACTGCTGTGCATGGAAAAACCAGCCTGGCAATTTGTGAATCTGACTTGCAGCCCTGGGGCAGGGTTGGGAGAGGAGGAGATGTGGGTGGGTCTGGTTTTGTGCAACTAAGAGAAAGTTGATAAAGGCCACTGCTTGTTACCTCCCAGCGTGTCTCACCTTCTCCCCCCGCCCCCCCATGCAGGGCAACCACATTCTGTTCCCTTCCCTCCGTCTCAATGCTGATCAGGCTCCACATTTAGGGGGGAGGGGGGAGGAGCTAATTTAGTTATCAAATTCTGATGCTGTGTGTTCATGTTGCCAGTGGAAAAATCCAATAAATGATTGATTTTAAAAAGCAAGTGTCAAGTGTGAGAGTGGAGGAACGCTTTTGAAGAGCAAGTCTGGTCTTAACGCATGCCGGGACAGAGCAAGGCACAAACACTGAGTGAAGCTGACCGCCAGCTGGAGCAGAACTCGCATCTGGGTACTCTACAAGGTGGCAGAAACTGCCCTGAGCGGCTACTGCTGAGCCCCAAACTCTTCTGCTCCAAAAATACAGACGTCTCAGTTATCAGGTAGGCAGCTCAGCCCAGGAAAAGTATTGCTCCCTTGAACAATTTCCAAGACTGGGACACCAGCCAGGGAGGCAGTGGGGCCCTTGGACGACCAAGGGGTAAAAGGAGTACTGAAGGACGATAGGGAAATGGCTGAGAAGCTGAATGCATTTTTTGCCTCTGTCTTCACTGTGGAAGATGAGAAGTGCTTGCCCACTCCAGAATTGTTGATTTCGGGAGGGGTAGTGAAAGACCTGTGTCAGATTGAGGTGACGAGAGAGGAGGTCCTAAAACTGATAGACAACTTAAAAACTGATAAATCACCAGGCCCAGATGGCATACATCCGACAGTTCTGAAAGAACTCAAATGGTAGCTAGTGTCAATCCCATCTTTAAAAAGGGTTCCAGAGGAGATCCGGGAAATTACAGCCCAGTCAGACTGACATCGATACCAGGTAAGTTGGTAGAAACTGTTATTAAGGAAAGAATTAGTAGGCACATTGATGAACAAAACCTACTGAGGCAGACTCGGCATGGGTTCTGTTAGTGTTTTTTGAGGGAGTGAACAAACATGTGGACAAGGGGGACCCAATAGATGTTGTTTACCTTGACTTCCAGAAAGCTTTTGATAAAGTTCCTCATCAAAGGCTCCTAAGTAAGCTCAATAGTCACAGGAGAAAAGGACAAGTCCTCTTGTGGATCAAAAACTGGCTAATTAGTAGGAAACAGAGAGTGAGTATAAATGGGCAATTTTCTCAGTGGAGGGTGGTAAGCAGTGGGGTACCGCAGGATCAAAGGGATCTGTCGAGGATGGGCAAGTGGGTGTCAACATGGCAAATGGGGTTCAATGTGGCCAAGTGCAAGGTGATGCACATTGGAGCCAAAAATCCTAACTATAAATACACATTGATGGGGTCCGAACTGGCAGAGACTGACGAAGAGAGATCTCGGAGTCCTAGCAGATAACTCAATGAAAATGTCTAGACAGTATACAACTGCAATAAAAAAGGTCAACGCTATGCTGGGGATTATTAGGAAGGGAATTGAAAACAAATCAGCGAGTATCATAATGCCCCTATATAAATCAATGGTGCCACCTCATTTGGAATACTGTGTACAATTCTGGTCACCACACCTCAGAAAGGATATTATAGCATTGGAAAAAGTGCAGAAAAGGGCAACTCGAATGATAAAAGGGTTGGAACACTTTCCCTATGAAGAAAGGATAAAACACTTGGGGCTCTTTAGCTTGGAGAAACGACGACTGAGGAGTGACATGATCGAGGTTTATAAGATTATGCATGGGATAGAGCAAGTGGAGAAAAGTACTTTTCTCCCTTTCTCAGAATACCAGAACTCGTGGGCACTCCATGAAATAGCTGAGCAGTCCGGTTAAAACAGATAAAAGGAAGTACTTCTTCACCCAAAGAGTGATTAACACGTGGAATTCACTGCCCCAGGAGGTGGTAGCGGCTACAAGCATGGACGGCTTCAAAAGGGAATTAGATAAGCATATGGAGCAAAGGTCCATCAGTGGCTATTAGCCACAAGGTATAGATAGGAACTTTCAGGCTGGGGCAAGGGATGCTCTGTATTGTTGGTGCTTGGGGGGGGGCAACAGTGGGAGGGCTTCTCACGTCCTGGACCCCCTGATGGCACCTGGTATTTCTGGCCACTGTGTGACACACAGTGTTGGACTGGAGGGGCCATTGGCCTGATCCAACATTGGCTTCTCTTACGTTCTTATATTCTTATGGTTGTGATTGCTTTGCAGTCCAAGCGGGTGGCACCTGCCTTAGTACTCAACAGTTGGCCTCAGGGCTGATCCCAGGTCACACAACAAAGCACATCTCACAAAACACATCCTGCCTTCCAGCCCGGGACTGAGGGAGGGGGCATCGCTCCCCCCCGGAGCCCCCATGGCTATGGGCCTGGCCAGGTCAGACTAGCTAAGCAGGGGTCGTTTCGTAGAAAAAGAGCTAGGGGAACTCATTAGCACAACTCATTAGCATATGCCACACCCCCTGACATCACCGGAAGTGTGTCATAAGGCCACACACCCCGCGCCCAACGGTCCCAGCCGCCACCGCCGGCCTTGCAGCTCCACTGCCGAGCCCCATGAGGGGCCCGGCGGTGGACCTGCAAGGCCGGCGGGAGTGCAAGGAAGCCCCGCGAAGGCCCTCCCTGGCCCCAGGCAGGCAGGGGTGGGGAGAGGCAGGGAGGAAGCAACTTACCCTCCCTCTTCTCCTGCCTCCTCCTGGCTGAATGAGGGCCAGAAGCGGGGCGGCCGGAAGCGGGGGGCGGGGCTTCGTCATGTGCCCCGCCCCCCGTACCTCACTCGGGGGAACTGCGATCCCCCCCGAAATGACCTCTGTAGCTAAGATGGATTTAGAAGGGCCACTGAGAATTCTGAAGAGGATAAAGGCGGGAAGAATGCCGGAAGCGGCACCTAGACCATAAGGATAAGACTGCAGGTGAGAAGACAGCTCTCCTGCTAACTGTTGGCCAATCCTTAGGGGCGACTGCAGCTGAGGGCCACATCAGCAGGATTAAGTCCTGCTCAGGCAGCTGGAAATGGAGGAATTGAGTTTACAGGCGGAGCAGCAAAAACGAGCTCGAGAGGGAGGAGCGGCTACAGGAGAGAAGGGAGAACAGGCCAGAGGAGGAGAGAAAAGCCTGCAGGCAAGAGCTGGTGAGGCAGGAGAAGACGGCTAAATTTGCAGATGACATGAAGTTGTTCAGGGTGGTGAGAACCAGGGAGGATTGTGAGGCACTCCAAAGGGATCTGTCGAGGATGGGCGAGTGGGCGTCAACGTGGTTAAATGTGGCCAAGTGCTAAGTGATGCACATTGGAGCCAAAAATCCTAACTACAAATACACACTGATGTCAAAAGTTGCTGATATCATGGATGTTTATCAGTGGTCAATGAAAATGTCCAGACAGTGTGCAACTTCAGTGAAAAAAGGCCAACGCTATGCTGGGGATTATTAGGAAGGGAACTGAAAACGAATCAGCCAGTATCATAATGGCCCTGTATAAATCGATGGTGCGTCCTCATTTGGAATACTGTGTACAGTTCTGGTAACCACACCTCAAAAAGGATATTATAGCATTGGGAAAAGTGCAGAAAAGGGCGACTAGAATGATAAAAGGGTTGGGATACTTTCCCTATGAAGAAAGGTTACAACGCTTGGGGCTCCTTAGCTTGGAGAAACGACAGCTGAAGTATGATGTGATCGAGGTTTATAAGATTATGCATGGGATAGAGTAGGTAGAGAAAGAGGTACTTTTCTCCCTTTCTCACAATACAAGAACTTATGGGCACTCCATGAAATTGCTGAGCAGGTGGGAGGTGCTGGGTATTCTGTATTCTTGGTGCTGGGGATGGGGGAGTCAATAGTGGGAGGGCTTCTAGTGTCCTGGCCCCACTGCTTGGACCTCCTGATGGCACCTGGTATTTCTGGCCACTGTGTGACAGAGAGTTGGACTGGATGGGCCATTGGCCTGATCCAACACTGGCTTCTCTTATGTTCTTGTGCAAGAGGAAAAGCAGAAACGAACTCAACATGATGTGCCTGCAAGCGGAACAAAGCAGTAAAATAAGTTACCCCCAAAGGTTTTTCTCCATACAAGGAGGGGGAAGACCCCTCAGTATATCTTAAATTTTTTTGAGAAAGCGGCTATGCAGTGTGGGGTGGCAGAGGCAGATGATACCTCCTACCTCTGTAGCATCCTAACTGGGGGCCTGGCTGCTGTCTACCACGGCGTGCCCGGCGGGGGAGGGGGGAGTAACTTTTAAAGATTTCAAAGCCACAGTTTTTAAACTGTTCAAACTGGGGGTGGGTCACTTCCGGAAGCAATTTTGGGGCTTATCCCTACAGCAGTGCAGAACCCATTCTGAGTATGTGGTGAAACTGAGATGGGGAGGAGACGGGTGGAAGAAGCAAAAGCCGGGGACTTTGAGGCTTTGTTCCAGTTGTGTGGTCCTTGTTGTTGTTGTTGAGTCGCACGGTCAAGTCCGACTCTTCACGACCCCATGGACCACATCACGCCAGGCCCTCCTGTCTTCCGCTGTCCTCCGGAGTTTGCTCAATTTCATGTTCGTTGCCTAGACGACACTGTCTACTCATCTCATCCTTTGCCGTCCCCGTCTTCTTTGACCTTCAATCTTTCCCAGCATCAGGGTCTTCTTCTCCAGGGAGTGCTCCCTTCTCATTGGGTGGCCAAAGTATTTGAGCTTCAGTTCCATTATCTGGCCTTCCAGGGAACAGTCAGAGTTGATTTCTTTTAGGATTGACTGATTTGATCTTCTTGCAGTCCGAGGGACTCTCAAGAGTCTTCTCCAGCACCATAATTCGAAAGCATCTATTCTTCGGCGCTCAGCCTTCCTTATAGTCCAGCTCTTGCAGCCATACAGTACTACTGGGAATACCATCGCTTTGACCATACCAACTTTTGTTGGCAGAGTGATGCTGTCAAGGTTTGCCATCGCTTTCCTCCCCAGGAGCAGGCATCTTTTAATTTCATGGCTTCAGTCACCATCTGCAGTGATCTTGGATCCCAGGAGCGTGAAGTCTGTTACTGCTTCCACGACTTCCCCTTCTATTTGCCAAGGAGTGATGGGGCCGGATGCCATGATCTTAGTTTCAAGCCCACTTTTGCGCTCTCCTCTTTCACTCTGAGCAAGAGGCTCTTTAGGTCCTCTTCACTTTCTGCCATTAGAGTGGTATCGTCTGCGTATCTGAGGTTGTTGATCTTTTCCCCAGCAATCTT